CGCCGAGGTAAAGCCGGTGGGAGCGTTTCGGCTGGCCCGGCGAGTGGGTTGGGGAGGGCGCGTTGCCGCCAGCCGAGTATCAACCTGCTTTTAAAGCTGCGTCAAAACGTACCGGGATTTAAAGGCGTTTCCTAACGGTGTTTTCTCTCCTCTCCTGCCTGCGATGAATATGTATTTTGCAGAGTTCACAGAGGGTACGTATCGCCTATATTGTTACAAAATATTGTTGCTTCAGTTCACTTTATTTCCCAAATTTCAAATCCATTGATACGGGGGATCAGCAATAACGATATCGGGTAATTTGATGGTGAACAAAACACGCCCGTTCGCCGAGTCTGAACTTACCATGGAAGCAGATGATACTAACGGGTTTTCTGGTTTGCTTCTCTTCTCCAACACAGTCGGTAGGGCCAGTTTCCTGCCGAAGTGATACTTGCTTAATACTTATGGGCGATTTGTGAAGTAGTATTTGCTAAAATGAGTTCTGCGTTGCCGAAGTTTAATTTAAGAACACATAGATAACAGGTTTTGTAATCTTTCAGTTCTTACTAACAGAAAGGTCAAAAGAGGAACAAAAGTAAACCTATTTAAATAGTCGGATTTTTCCTTTTCAAATTATGTTTCTAACGCGTCTGTGTCATTTGCTTTTTTATTTCTCCAGAATGAAAGACTCTAGCAAAAAGAACAACATTTTTGCTCAGTTCAGGAAGAATGACCGTGACAAGCAGAAGCTAATAGAGACTGTAGTAAAGCAACTTAGGAGTTTAGTGAACGGTATGTCCCAGCACACATAGGCCTCTTGAATCGACGGTATCTCATCGCGCCGAGAGGTATTTCTTAGCCACTATTTCTACTAAGCAAACAGTGATATCAGTTAGGACATTCGTTTGACCGAGTAAAGGAAAAATGCAGTAGATGGCTTGTACGGGGAGTCTTCAGCAAACAATTCTTTGTACGTATTTTTAATGGATCGAATACTATTTTGTATATTGTAAACAAATGGTGAAAAATGAGACTGTACAATAAAAACCAGCTCAATCGTATTGTACATGGAACAGCTGAACTGTAAATACGTTATTTAAATATCTGCAGACACGGTGTCCAAAATTTTGCTCCGGGTAGGAATTATTTGAGAAATGATCCCTTAGTTGCTGTTTTCTGGGTGAACTCTAATTTAATGTTTTCTAAGCATTGAGATACTTGCGTTTCAGATGCAACCTATCGTTTTCCTGCATTAAATGTATATTAGCCTTAAAGTGACTGGACATAATTTTGTATACCAGATTTTGTAGTCTGGAGGCATGAAAAAATCTTCTGATTTTTAATGCCTTTGAAAACTACCTGAGAACTAGACTTGATACTTATTTAGCGTTAGGGCTTATAGGCTTTGTTCTCCAAAAGGGTTTAATCTTGAGGTTGTGAGTGTAAATAACCATTTTTCTTTATAATGTGATATTTTGTTTTGCTTTGGTTTTGTTCCTCAGGGTTACTATTTCTAACTGTACTTTTGTAAGATCCCGGGTTCTTTCCCCCAGGTTGCAGCAAGGAGTAGATTTGCCACTGTTGGTTTCGTGCCGCATCTGTTTGTCAGTATGCGCTTTCTTTCCACCACCAGACCCATCCCAGCGACCAGCATTTCGTCCCACCGCCAGTCTCTTTGCACTGTCCCCTCCTGGCTATTTTAGACACAAAGAGAATGTTTAACAAATACAAACCAAATGGAACATGTAAAAATAATGTACATTTTCGCTGTATTTTTAAGTTATTGACGGTCTAAATACAGTAATATAAACCTCACGCGTATTCCCGTTTAATTTCACGCACTGGAACGCACCTCGGAGCTGGTTTCGTTGGGACCCGTACAGGTCCCGGCTCTTTGGTGATTTACCCCCGGGGCAGGCGGGCGGGGGTCCGGGCGGTCCCGACGGCGGGGTGCGGCCCGGGGGGTTGCGGGAT